CCCCCCCACCAAACAAGATAATCACTAAGAACAGTTATTTCAATTTGAAATAACAACAATAATACACAACATAAATAGATGATAAAAATATGCGAGAGAACAAACATATCATAAGCGAACGAGCATTTTACTATAACAAATGAAAATAACTCGTCGACACAGAAACAAATACACAAATAAAACTAAATGCAGTTACATATGAATTTTCAAACAAAAGAAAATATGAGATCAATATTATTCTACTATAATACAGAAGTAAATCCTACTCTTTAGGGGAATCCTCATACTGAAAATAGCTCATATGGAGGTGCCAATGGAAAATAATCCAGCTCAACTTGACTACCTAAATCATGGTGACGATACCACTCCGCTTGAGCAGCATGGAACTGTCCAATTTGCTCAAAAATTCTTTGTTGTTGAACATTAGAAAGATGAATTATTTTGTCCATCCTTTGTTGTCGTTGCATCATGTTCTGTGATTCATGAGCCATAGAGTCCATACGCTCATGTATTTTAATGAATTGAGTCAATCCCTTGAGTCGAGATTGGTAGGTATTGAGATGAGAAGGATGGGATTGTGAAGCACTAAGCTGAGACAGATTGGGTCCATCACTATCAATATATCTATCAAATAAATTCTTATCGTACCTATGAACCAATCTTCTAGTAATCACCTTATGAGGTAAAATCTGCTCCTACCAATTTTCGAGCCTAACCTCAGCTTTTATACATAAAACAAAAATAAGAGATGGATGACACAATCCTTTTGTAGTTACATATTGAAGTTTAAATAAGACGTCCTAAGTTAATTAGTTTTTACCTCCAAAAACAATTTTTTAGGACATCTTTCTCTGGTTACCTCACTAAGATATGTGGTAGAAAAATTCGGGCACAAATAAAGAAATGCCACGTTTTTGAAGTGGCATTAAGAGTTTTGGCAGATAAATTAACCTTCCTCTCTTCCCTCATTTTCCACACCCCTCTCTCAGCAGTAAAAAGTTCAATGATCCTAGATAAAGCTTCACCAGTGATAGAAGAAAAGAAGCTAGTATAACCATCCTCACAATACAAAAATGGAATTAATATAAGATGGATTAGACTCTTCCTATTTTCCTCTCACAAAAACCTTCCCTTCCTTTTTGCTCTTTGAAATTAGCATAAAATTCTCTTACTATAAGAATTAGGGCACTCCCTACTTGACAACAAATTGTTACCCAATTGCTCATGGTAATTTGGGCTTCTATATTCCCTCTGGACTAACAAATCCTCTTTCCTGAATTTAACATTTAAAACTACTTAGTCCTGAAACTGAGCTGCAGATTTAAGACTTATAAATATTTTTGAGTCAAAATTCGAATGAGTTTTACCACTCTTAATTTTAGGTGCTATTTAAGAATGGGAAAGAAATCCCTACACAAGTTGAGATTGTCAATGATTTTTAGAGAGATTTGTGTTGGTTGATAATGAGAATTTGTCCCTTCGATAAACTATATAGAATTGAAATTAAGGTAGGTAAGGAATTTTGGGAGGTGGTTGGTAAGAATAGGTGGTAAATATGGAACATATGAGTGGTAGGTTAAGGATTATCAGTAGTGGTAGGTAACAAATTTTTCCATACCATTAAAGATGGAATGAAGAAGAAGCGCTCAAATGCCCACGCCTAGTGCCTATGCGCCAGGTCCCTCTGTTCATGCATGAAAAAATAAGGGTCATATATGCGCCCTTAGCTTGGCGCATAAGCGCCATGCCCTCTGTTTGAGCACGTGAAACAATTATGCAAAAAGCAAGCAATGGAAGAAGGTGCGTTTATGTGCCCCTAGCTTGGCGCATAAGCACCCGACTCTCAGGTAATCAAGCATGCAATGCGACAGTAAACATACCAAATCAAGCATAAAATTAATTTTTCAAATAAAACTTGAATCCATATTTTTCCAATAAATATCACACAAAAAGATTAAATTAAACCCCTACTCAAACATAGTGTAATAGCAAGTCATCACAACTAAATGAGCAAAATACTTTCTAAACACATGAAATTTTTTCAAGACATAGCACACATTCAAAATCACATAACTTCATGATACTCCGTTCTAAAAATTGCCTTCCACTCCTCAATTTAATAGCTTTCACATGCTCATTACTTATCTCCTTAGGATTAACTTCGGTGTTACTAGGAAGAGTATATGTGGTCTATTGCTAAGATAATATGCTATTTGGCCCAACTGGTTTTCTATATTCCTAATGGCAGCAACTTGAATCTATAGTTAATTCCCCATTTCCATCACTATTTCTTCAAAAGACATCTATCTAGGTTTGCTGCTACACTTGATACTCCAATTTTCTACAGGATTAACATGATTATTTTCTCACTGTTTGTTTTCTACCCCTCGGTTATTAGTATTCCAATTAAAATTAGAGTGATTCTGTTAACCTGGGTTATAGCTTTTGGAGTATGGGTTGTTGAACCTATTACTAATGGTGTTCATACTCTCAACATACAATGCCCTTGGATTTACCAGTTGTCCATAAGAATTTTCCTCTATGACTGGCGGTCCTTGTGGATTATTAAGCTCTGGTTGGTCTAGCTTCCTAGATATAGCCGCTACTTGAGAAGTCAAAATTGATAAAATGTCTATATCGTGAAGACTAGTTGCCTTTCTAGGGTTCACTCAATCAGAAGGCCATTCAAAATTATGTGTTGATATCTCTTCAACCAATGAATATGCTTCATCAAAGGGTTTCAACATCAGGGAACCTCCTACGGCTGCACTTATGATCAACCTAAGTGACTCTACCAACTCATTATAAAAAGTTTGAATGATCAACCAATCAGGTAATGCGTGGTGAGGACACTTCCTAAGGAGCTCATTAAACATTTCCCAAGCCTCGTAAACTGATTCTCCATCAAACTGGCTAAAAGAAGTAAAATTGTTCTTATGTTTACCCATTTTTGTATGGTGGAAAATACTTTGCTAAAAATTTTTGGGATGGATCATTTCATGTTCTAATAGACTCAAGAGCTAAGGAATTAAGCCACATTTTAGCTATATCCCTCAAAGAGAAAGGGAAAACCCTTAGCCTTATAGCATTGTTGGAGACACCGTTGTAGCAAAATGTGGCACACGGTTCTAAAATAAACACTAAAAACAGACAGCACGCAAGCAACAGGAATGGTGCAACAAATAAAAAAGCAAAATACAAAAATATAGACTTTACTGGAAATAAAATGATATTTTTTGTATTTTTATATAAAAGAAATAAAAAAAATGATCAGTTTACAGGTTAACAAAATAAGTTTCATGTTTAAGTCCTAAAAGTTCAACTAAAATATTCCTACATTATCGTTCCCTGACAACGACACAAAAAACTTGATACTAATCAAGTGCGGTGAACCACTAGCGACTCACGCAAATATATTTTAATTATTTTAATTAGAACTATAAGATTCAAGGTCTGAAGGTCCTAAATTACGCATATACAAAGAAGAAAACTGGTGAGTGAACCTAAGATAAAGAGAGTCGTCAAAATTTAATATAAACACAAAATATCAGATAAACACTAAAAACATACAGCACGCAAGCAACATAAATGGTGCAACAAATAAAAAAGCAAAATACAAAAATACAGACTTTACAGGAAATAAAATGATATTTTTGTATTTTTATTTAAAAGAAATAAAAAAAATGATTAACAAAATAAGTTTCATGTTTAAATCCTAAAAGTTCAACTTAAATATTCCTAATTGGATTTCATTATCGTTCCCTGAGAACGACACAAAAAGCTTGATACTAACCAAGTGTGGTAAAGCACTAGCGACTCACACAAATAAACTATCTCAAAGATCACAATATAAATTAACACAACAAGCAGATAGTTTGCATGTAAACAAAAAAATGTGAAAGATTAATTTTCACCATATCACAATATTGTACAAGTCAAAGCATACATCACAACCAAGAATTTCTATTCATCAAATCAGAAAAGAATCAAAAAATTGAGTTCCTAGACATGTTATGGAACAAAAAACCCATACTTTGTTTCATTATACGAAAGAAACTTACATAAATTTGAGTAAGGAAAACTAGATTTCACCCTGGAATGCCTCCACTCAAGCGTGCTCTTAGATCAGAGTCTCTAACAAGTCTCTGGAAATGTTCTCATCTCACTCTCGAATGATTCTTTAGAGAAGCAAAACTTCTCACTCTAGAGAATTTATTGAAGTAAATTGAAGTAAAATGAAAGAAAGTAGGGCAGTCAATTTGGCTCGTTGTTCCTGAATAGCTTCTGTTTAGGTCGTTAAGTAGCTCGTGTCTGATTCGTTTGCTAAAAAAATGAGCCGAACACAAAATATTTTTTTGTGCTCATTAACGAGCCGAATACGAACAACACTAACAAATATTTGTTTGTTCGTGTTCAACTTGTTTTGGCTCGAAATAGTTATAAGATTTCACCCTGGAATGCCTCCACTCAAGCGTGCTCTTAGATCACAGAGTCTTTAACAAGTCTCTACAAATGCTCTCATCTCACTCTCGAATGATTCTTTAGAGAAGCAAAACTTCTCACTCTAGAGAATTTATTGAAGTAAAATGAAAGAAAGTAGGGCAGTCAATTTGGCTCGTTATTCGTGAATAGCTTATGTTTGGCTCGTAAGCAGCTCGTGTCTGATTTATTTGCTAAGAAAATGAGCCAACACGAAATATTTTTTTGTGCTCATTGTATAAACTAGCAGAACACAGCCAAAGTGTTTGTTCGTGTTCAACTTGTTTTGGCTCGAAATAATTATATATATGTTTAAATACATGTATATATAAGTATATATATATGCATATACATGTATACATACATATACACATATACTTGTATACATATATACATATGCATATACATAGAAATCTATACATATATACATATTGATATTTTATTTTCCCTTATATTTTCTTTTCCCTTACATACAAGTATTCAAATATATATATATATATATATATTCAATAATTTTGTAAGATTACTATTATTTTAAATTAACATTTCAGATTTAACTAAATGATTAAAAGACGAAGAAGATTAAATATTTATAGAACATACGAATAACCAATAACGAGCTAAAATTTAAATATAATATTTTTTTAATTTAATTCATAGTGATTCTCTCATTTATTAATAGTTAGTTATACAAAATAAATAAGAAAAATTTTAATTCTCACTTTCCAACATTGATTAAGTGGTGACGATAGGAAGCCATAACTGCAAGGTACAGGGAAAACAATTAATCAGCCTTCGTAGGAAGAGTGCCGACAGTAACAAATTAGACATTTGCAGAGGACAGATGTTAAGTATTGTAATAGCAGGCATAGGCCGTAAATGATATGATGAGTATAAAAGAAAAAAAGATGATACCAAGAATGATCGATGACCCATACACGCCCAGTTCATTTGTCATCATGAGTCATGCCTAGGTCAAATAACATTCATGACCTAAGCATGAAACTTGACACGTGCAATCATCACACCGCACAGAATCAGCTCATTTCTCCCAAGAAGGTGAACTCTTTAAGGTTCTTCACACATACTACAATGCACATACTCTAACGAAATTGCTTCAAATGTTCATGAAATATGGTTGATACCAAACTCAACCAAGAGAGCTATAGTATAAATCAATCAGTTCTAAACGCTACATATTCATAGCCAAACACCTATAATCTATATGCACACAGTAAATACATGATATCAACAGAGAAGGTAACTAATTTACAAACAAAAGCTTTAAAGAAGCAAACCTTTACAACAAACAGCTAACAGATAGAGAGCAAAAACAATCACTAGCTTGGAGGCATAACAGTATCATTTTCCAGTAACCCTTCAAGCTCCAACATGAGATCAGTAACCCTTTCAGGTTCCATCATTTCATTCGAAGTTTCTGCTTGTACTAACTGAAAAGAATAAATCGAGCAATTTAATTTATTACGAATCATATAAGTCCTAACCTCTGAAAGTAAAAATTACATGTGTAACACACAATTCCTACGTATTTACGTATCTCACACCTCCAGTGTCATTTTTATATACATAACACTTTGGTGCTCTGACCCTTTCCATGAAAAGGTGTATTTCACTTTTAAAAAGTATTTTTTACGTGATATTGAAGATTTGAATGCTATGTGTGTAAATATGAAAGTTTAAGTGTGAGATATGTAAATACCTAGGAATTGTTCGCTATGTGTGTAAATAATGAGAAAGTTGAGCTTACGTCTGATTCCTGCAGTTCTTCCACAGCATTCAGAAGCCTCCTGTACTGATCTATGGCCTCAGGATACTGAACCATGGACTTCACCCTAGCAAGGGCTTTCTCGAGCCTAGCCTCAGTCTGCTTCCTGCCTTCTTGCAAGAAATCATAATCATCCTCTTTCATGTCTTGGTTTTCGCTGATTCGGGCTTCGAGTGGCTCATCAGAACGAAAACCTCGTAAGCCACTTCCTTTTCGTCTCCAGCGTAATATGACTTTTTCAACAATTCCAACTGACCAGAGAATCTTCCTATAATGTTTTCTTACTTGGTGACCACGAACATGGGCCTGCTCAGGAAAAAAAGAATAAATATATTTCAAGGAAAAAAGGGTAAATAACATCATATGAGTAGGAAATATGTTTATATCATGCAAGTTAAGAGGAGGAGGAATCGCATAATTTATACAGTAAAGAAGAAACATAAAAGTCAGAAAATATAAAAAACTGGAAGATAGGTTAAGCTTAAACAATTAGAGACCATCACAAAATGCTAGTTTTTTATACTAAAATGTTATATGTCATCAGGTCTCAATGATAGATACAGAATCAATCATGTGAAATTATTTTATTTTGGAAGGGAAATGCTATGTATACAAACAGAAGCCTGGTGGCATAGAGAAGCTCATTAACCCTGTTAAAAATACACAAATAAAAACAATTTAAAAAGTACTACAATTTTGAAAAATACTTCTATACCCATTTGCTTATACTAGAGTTAGTATTAATCTTTTTTTGCTTGAGAACAACAAACATCACTCCTTGTATGAATAGTAAAGTGAAAAAGTGCCATGATTTCTGCAACACCACTAAGCATGACCTTTTCTATAAAAATGCCCAATTTCCAGCTGTTAAAAGTTTACTTCAAGCAGAGATGCAATTTCTCCAAAAGTTAGTATACTAAACACCATGAAAATCCTTAAAAATTTTATTTATTATGGACACCATTAAATGAAAGGGGCATTTACACACATAGCACACAATTCTTATGTATTTACATATCCCACACCCATACTTTTATATTTACACACATAACACTCAAATTTTTAATATCACAAAAGAAATACCACTATTATCACTTTTTAAAAGTGAAATAGACCTTTTTATGCATAAGTTTAAAGTACCAAAGTGCTATGTATATAAATATGAAATTTCAGGTGTGAGATATATATAAAGAAGAATTGGGTGCAACGTGTGCAAATTTCTTTAAATGAAAATGATTTGGTTGCAAAATAGTAGTCCTGCAACGCCTAACATGTTATGTTGTATTTCCTTTCGATAAATATGAAAATGATTTGGTTGCAAAATAGTAGTCCTGCAAAGCCTAACATGTTTGTATAAGTATAACCAAACTTAAAGAACTGAAAAAATAAACAATACAATCTCCAACATCCAGTGACATTCAAACCCAATTCAACTACACGTATATAGACCAAGCAAGTAATGAAAAATGACCATTCAACAGGAACACCTACAATCATAAGGCAATTACGCAAAACATGGCCTGGAATGCAAATCAGAGAATGTTCCATCAACAAAATGCACAAACAGAAGACTCGGCTACACTTACCTGGATTTTGACAATCTGCTGCCGGATAGTCAAGAACTCTTTCCTACCTTTCCATCCTCGAAATTTGTTCTGAATTTTAATTGCAGCAGCATGAACAGGCATACCATGTTGTCCTGATTTGTTATTTTTTACAGAAATAAGTGGAATGGCATCCTCATCTGAAATTCTACAATTTTCATCACCATAATCCATGATTTTCTTTCTATGAAAGGACTGCACCCTGAAAACCTGATATATTCGTGCTGCAGCTTCAGTAGCATTACGGACAGCACTTAGTGAAGTTTTCAGTGAAGTTTGTGTCCCCCCAAAAGCATTATGTGAGCTGCCCATATCAGTACTGTGATGGTAGTCCAGTAAACCAGAGGATTCAGTTAAATCACAGCCTTTTGAGTCCTTCAAAGTGAGCTCTCGAAGATGTTTTAACAACGAGGATTCCGCCAGAAAGCCAGCAATCCCTTTGTACCCATTTTGAGATGCCAAATCTGCAGGGGTTCTTCCAGAAGGGAACTCAGGAGTTGGATCAGTTAAAGCTCCAGGAGATGCATCTAATGCAATCAGCGTAACCACCGTCCTCTCTCTGTAAGAACTAAAAAAATTAAAAAAAGCTACAAAAAACTAAAATATTAGAAAGCATCAAAAGAGAGATGTATTATTTAATATTAACCTTCCAAAAAATGCAGCCCAATGAAGTGCGGTCCATCCATGCACATCTCTGAAATTAATACCAACACCAGCAGCTATGATTGGTTTAATAGCCCAATCATAACCAAGGGCAGCTGCTAAATGAAGCACACCCTGCCCCTCGTTATCCAAGACATTTGGACCCTTGACATCCTCCCCTACTTTATGAAGAAGCCACACATGCAGTTTCTCTTTCAATGGCTCTTCAAGCAGCCAGTTCTCTGCAGCGATATGGGGGGAGTCTTCATCAGGGGCATGCTTGAATAAATTGAGCAACTCAACATCAACTTCCATCATCATAGAGCAAATGGTGCAGTTTGAATGAGGTCTCTCATGACTAGAATCAGGACTAGTGTGATCAGAGTTCTCCAAAACTAAAAGCTTTTCAAAACGGAATAGAAGATCTATATCGTTTGTATTGCTACTATCAGAATCAGTATTTTCAAATTTTTGCATGTTATTCAGCTTATATTCAAACTCTCGTATTTCACTGCAAGCAAACCTATTGGAACGGGTCACATAGAAAGGAATCTTTCCAGGCTTATGAGATGGTGTATAGCAGCATAGATTTCCATCAGCCAAAATATAAGCTGGCACTTCAATATTACCAAACATGCATGACCAACTGTATTTTTGCACATCCTCTTTATTCATCAAGAATTTTCCCTTAACCAGAACCTGCTTCATAGATACAAACGAAACAACTAACATAGTGATTCTAGAAGAAGATTTCATTTATCTTGGAAGGAATTCAAAATATTACTCAAATGCAGTATGAGAAAATGGTAACATTACATCTATGTTCACATACCTTGGTCTCCAGTTCTGTATATGTCCAATTTGGAAAGAAATCTATAATGCTGAAAAGCTGATCATGAGAAATTGAGGGGCCCATAAGATATGTATCAAAATGCTCTTCATTATGCACACTGGGTTCTGCAACAACACTATCATTTTCAAGCGTGCTCCAACATAATCCAGAATTTAAGGTAATCAGTGAGTCATCCACCTCTCCAAGTTCATTGCTCGCCCATCTAGAGAAGCTATCATATTTCTTCAAATCTTGATTATCTATGGAAGACAAATTTGAAAGTTGATTCATGTGATTTGTATCTGACTTTTGGATGTTTTCAGCTTCAGTAATAGATGGAATGAGGGAGCCCACCTCATCATCATAAAACTGCAAGTTGACGTCGTGCAGGGATAAGAAATAGTTTCTAGTCTTTGTTGGAACAATAAACACATAATGCGTAGATTTTTGCGACGAAAAAGAACTTGTGATAGAATGATTCTCCAAGTTCCATCAGTTTCATGCTAAAAAGTTAATCACAGGACAAATGAAAGAATTTAAGGGCACAAAAACATTTTAAGGTATTAATAATTGGATGCGGAGAGTGTAGGAGGTAGAAACTAATAGGAGACCAGTCTCGGGCTTGATATGATAGTGGTCAAAACAATTTTTAGCCCAAAATCTTAACCTCATGGATGAGAACCAAACCCATGGTTATGTCTACAGCAAAATATTCAACTATCAAATGTTGAGCTATACTCAAAATTTTTATGTGCCTTAATAATCTTCCCTCACATGAAAGCTCTGCACACCAACCATAACTCACTCGCCAATGAAAATTGTTTAATGTTATCAAGTATCATACGTCAAAAACCCACATAACTACACGAGTCATTGTGAGCATCACCTACTCTTTAACCTTTATCAAGATGGAAGAACAAAAAGCTCGAATACACAAATCGCATAAACCACTTGATCTCGGATTCTCAGTGAAACCATTAACTTGAATACCATTTGTTAAAGGGTAGTGAACCGAAAGGGGTCAAAGTTGGGCATTATATACGAAGGATCAAATTTATTATCAACCCAAAACCTCAAGTAAGGTCAATCACTTAGAATTTCTACATAAATGTATTATTCAACTATCTAATATTTAATTAAAGGAATACTTACATGCATGTTAATAAAGACTCAAATTAAATACATCTTGAACAACTTAAATAAAAGAGCGAAATGGCATATTTCTAAACTTGTTCCATATAAGGGCGTTATAATGTTTTGGAACACCAAATAGAATTACCTACAACTTTTCACTCTAATATATTGCAGTATCTACATGCATGTATCAAATAACATAGCAATTTGAAATCAAGTTTACACCGCAAAGAAATTATACAATGATATCAAATGAATAGAAAATGATGATGTGAATGAACATATTTTCCTACAATACCGGGTTTTTTTTTTCAAGAGGGCATGCAAACATCTATGGCTTTCTTACAAGATCAAATGTAATTATGATCCATAATTGAACATGTGGAAGGCATTGGGAACTAGTGAGAATTTTTCAACACAAAGGGTGATCACTGTAATCCTATTAGAGTGATGACGAGGGTCTGCAATAAGAGGACTGATTCAGTTTTCTTATTATAGGAACATCCTTTCTATCTAATTTTTGCCTTCCACTCATCAGCTATGATAACCACAGTTTGCCATAGTACTCAAAGTATCTATAATTGTCATGGTTTGCTATAGTGCTTGTGCTAGTAATATAATATTCTAGCTAGAGAAAGAGAGAAAATATTTTGAGTTACAAGTAATTTATATTGCAGTGTATATTCTATTTGTAAAAAAACAAGAACTAAATTAAATTAAACTTTATCTTCTCCTACACTAACTTCATTAAATAAGAAACGATTTTATCACTAACTAAAGTTCTTCAAAACAAGCTTATCTTTCCTAATCTAACTTTAAAAAATAAATAAGTACCATAATATTTAAATTCATTATTCAAAGGTTAACCTTACACTTTTGTCTCATCATCATCCAATGGTACAAATTTCTTGTCTTAAAATCTTGATATTTGAATGTTTGATAAATAATTCATACTTGTGGACTCCCAATGAACATCTTTTTATCAAAAACAAGATTAAAAAAAGAATCTTCTGCCAAAATCCTCTAAAGTTATAGATCTCTATTTTAGCTCATTAGCACCTACAGATGAGAGCTCTTTTTATTTTTATTTCCTCAAACCCTTGACCTTGGCTTCTATTTTTGCCACATGATGGTTCATCCTCATAGACAAACAAAGTACTAGATTGTCTCCATCTATTTTCTTTATTAACACAAAAGCTCTTGAATCTCTCAAAATAGTTCGATTCATTGGTTTTTTCTATCTCCTATAATGGTGGAACAATAGATCAACCTTTTATTCTTTCTCACATTTTAGAAGCACAATTTTCAGTTTACCTTCTATAGAAAATAGCATACCTATACGAAAACTATAGACTATCTAGCATTAAATAAAACGGAATTAATGATACAACTTCACAGACTACAGCAATAAAATTTCTAGAAAAAACATGCCTTCTTAAAACCAACTCAGAGAATAAGATTTTGAATCTTGAGTGGTGACTATCTCTAATTTTTCAAGTAAAACTAGAAAGGCAAGATTTTTTTTTCACTATCTAGATCCAAAGTGAAATCAATGATGATAAATTTCACCTAAATATGAAACAAATCTTCACTAGGTTTTTCATCAGCATGTAAGTGCAACATAAGGAATTAAAGTATTTTCCTTCGTCACTCTTACAACAGCACTTTTTTCTTAAGTAGTAATGATGATATTTTTTTTCTTTCTTCCCATTTGGCATCTTTTATTGATAAAAATTCCAGAAATTCTTAAACATGTGACCTAGCTTTTTGCAATAACAACATGGCGGCATTTTGTCTTGCTCTCCACAGCTAAACTTTCAATCATCTTCTTTACAATTCCACGTTAAGATTTTACATTGATAGAAAGTGTATTAACTCTTTCCTAAAGTGATATAGTTTTATGCTAGTTTCAAGAATATTAACAACCGAAAAAGCTTCAATTTTGAGCCAAGGCTTTCATAAAGCCCTACTATATATTTCATCAATACAGATTTTTTCATTAACCATTTATTATTAAAGAAGTTTCATGCCTCTAAATTCATTTGTGCGTTCTTGTAGATTTTGCAAGTAATCCTACGTCAATTCATGCCATCAAATTTATTTTTCTTCTTTGGCCAATAGAATAAAATCAAGCTTTTAACAATCTATAAAACACTCAACTTGCCAAAGTTGACGGATAACAATTTTTAAATTGTGTACTCCATTGTAGTAAAACATGTAAGAAACTCTCCAAACAAGCAAATGCAATTTTCTTTTTATCTGGATAATCATAAACCATTAAATATATTTCAAGAATATCAAAATATTCCTTTATCGCCACTACTTTGACTAGTTCGTTGTAGTAATTAACTTTAATTTTGCTTCAACCTTAAAGAGAAGTTCCTTTTCTCTCCTAAATTTTCACAACTCCTCTCTATTAATGGATTCTCCTTAATTGATGACTGTCTTCTATGGGATGGCCCTTCTGTTTGAATGGGGTAGTGAAGTAGATGACAATGACACTATCTTAATAGTAAGTGCTTCAGAGGCACCCACCATTGTGGCTATTTGTTTTGTCATGATTATCTCATGGTAGTAATCTGAATGCTCCATAGATCTTCATGAGTAACCTTCCAATCCTTTATTTAACAATGATTTTTTTCTACGAGTAGAAACTTGCGTTTTAATACAATATTAAACTCCAGAATGAGATGTGAGAGATACTTTCAAATAAATAAGAATTTTTCTACAACAAGGGAAATCCGACGCAATCCTATAACATGATGATAAGAATCTACAATAAGATAATTGATTGAGTTTCTTGTAAGAAACTCCCACCAAGTGATTTTTGCCTCCTAACAGTTGATGCCATAGTAATCACAATTTGCTTTAGTATCATTTGATATTATTGCATCTGCAATTGCTATTGTACCAACACTAGCTGTAATAACCATATAAGTAGATAACGATCTTTGGAGAGCTTAATTTTTTTAAAGAAAGAAAGACTAATTTAGGGGAAAAAAGAATTTGTATCTTCTACTCCTTCAAATTAGAAACCTTATCCTTCCTAAATAACTCCAAAGAAGAAGTATAATTAAATTTTAATTAAAATGCAAATTCATCCAAAATAAGTTCAAAAATTAAAAAAAAAATAAACATCATCAGATTATCCTTATCACCATCCAAAATTTCAAATTTCCTGCCGCATGATCTTTCATCATTAAAGTTATGATCAACAATTTACCTTTACCTGTGACCACTAATGAGTTGACTTATCTATCAAACTTCGCAAATTAGAAAGTTATTTTAATAAGATCCTTTAACGTCAAATAGCCTTCTCCAATGGTTAGTTAATCAAATAAAAACAATTACCCTAAAATAATCATCAAAACCTTAATTAAAGTTTCTTGTTGTCAATTCTTATCTTTCCAAACTCAAAAAGACTTAACAAAGCCAAAAATCAAAAGAGAGAAGAAGAAAAAAGGAGAGCGAGAATGGGATTTTTGGCTTGGAAGCCATGTTATTGATTTGAAAATTCATGCCTCCATGTTTTCCCTCATAGCACCCTTCCTTGGAGGCCTTAGAGATGGAAACAAGGGTGAAACTCAAGTTGGAAGAGAGACATGAGAGAAACTATTTGTTGCCAATTGAATTGAATTCTTTCAATTTATTTCAAAGACTAATTACAAACTATATTTATACACATCTAATCCCTTAACAAGGAAAATTAAAAATTACATGAAAATTCAAATCTAACCTAAAAGTAGGAACTACTTCAAAGATATTAAGATAAATTCTAGTCATTCTAGATAAGATAGCTACTTATTTAATGTTTATCATATTTAGTTCAATAAATGAAATGACAATATCTAGATAAAATAAGAGAAGATTTTTTAAAATCACTCTTAAAAGGGATAATCATAGCAAGAGCAATTTGTGGAGTTAAATTTGGTATAATCCTAAATTTCTTGGAGTTGGTTGAGCTTCTCACTCTCCCTCCGTCCTCTTCTTGTAGCCAAATTTCTTTTATGTGGCCAAACCTCTATAAATATTATTGACAATTGAATCTCCATGGATTTTCCTCTTGATTTAATTCTTCTGGCATGCAATGTCCTTCTTCAAAGGTAAGATATGTATTATGGATTCTCAATTCTTCTCATTTTAATTCGACTATCATACTTAGTTATTAATTGAAAAGTGTGGTTGGATTCTTTTTTTTAAGGAGATATAGTATCAAAATTCTTATTTTGTGCATA